CCCAATATCTCACATTATCTTTTATCTCACATTATTTACATGATCTGGCAGCATTTTCATATGATGGTTTTTGACTACCCCCTGTAGCTATTTTAACCATTCTGCTAAATTATATGGAGGATGAGTATTTTCATTTCTAATCTTGTCACTTCTTTACCTTTCAAGGTCCCTTACCTTGTTTTCACAGGATCTCACTCTGTGTGGGTGTTGCCCAGGCAGGTGTGCTTTTATCAAACCAATTCTGCACTAAAAACCACTAATTTAGTATACTTTACCCACTTTGCAACAGGCTCTGTAGAAATGAGGTGTTTCATAAGACCACCTAGAGGCTGACCAAGTGGTATAACTACTATGCTAGCCTGCCACTCATGGACTATCATAAGTAAAGCATACGGGGATCCTGCCAATCCCTGCCGACCATTGGAATGAATAAATTGGTGTCAGTTTTCTTTTAAAAATTTAGGGAAATTTGTTCACCTATTGCACTGTTTCTAAAGTAATGTTCCTCAGGGCTTATGAATGCACTTTACACCCAAATTCTACTAGTAGAGATATTGAGTCCTTACCACACCCAATTTCTACTCACTGGGGTGGTGGACACAGGCTTTTCCTCCAGAATGTTACAGTGAATTTTCTGCACTCTTGGAGAAGAGGGTGAAGTTGGGGGCTCTCCTACCTGGGTCCGTGAATGTTTTTTTTTCCCAGGTGTTGGTAGGAGAGTCAGCCAATGCGAGAGCCTACTCGTAATATCGGTTCAGATTGGATGCTCAGCTATCCTGTTGGGTTGAGCATGTCCCTTCTTTTTGATCAATACTAGTTTAATACATTGTTCATGGAAGAAGGTCTATTGTTTCCTCGTAATTCCAAATGTAGAGTAATCCCATTGTGGAGCCTCGGTTGAGCACAATTTTTTCTACATCCTCCCCATAATTCCGGAGGCAAATGGAATTTACCTTGCCCACATGGTTGGGTGAGTGCTTATAATTCCAGACCAGGTGTTTTCTGTTTCCACAGGTTGAGTAAGACATACATGATCCTGTCATTCTAAGCCTGGGGTGTTGCCTTTCAGACTTCTTCAGGCTGAAGATAAGGTTTGGTTTGTCCACATCACTGTATGGGTAAAGGTTTTGATCCACTCATAAGTGTGTGTAGATATATATTACATTGTAATTGTCCTAGCCACCAATATGGGATATAGGGACCACTGCCCTATTATTCCATCCCCAAGCAGTTGAACCTCGGTTTTCTATTTGGGGCCTGGTCAATAGTGGTGATAAGTCATGTAAAGCTCCACCCACAGTATATGAATTATGTTCTGGGTGAAGAGCATACCTGTTCTGGATGTCGTGTGACTCCCTTTCTTGTGTGCCTGCCTTATATTGAAATACCCATGATCTATGCAGACAATTTCCATATAGATAATGCCCTCATCGGCCCCTGCACCTTCTCAAAATGAGATTCTAGCTGTAGTGTAAAAAGAAGTATGAATAATGTATTTCCAATAATACTTACTTTCTTTCACACTCTCCTGCCTTTCTTCTCCACTAAGATTAAGTTAGTCTCGAAAAAGTGATAACATTATCTGAATGAGGTGCTTATGTACAGTACCAGGATAGAAGGTGCATTGATGTAAGTGGATAGTGTCACGAGACAAATATTGTCAAGGGCAATTAAGTGGGGTATAAAAGACTGGAGCAAGCGAGAAAAAATCAGACCAATGCTTAGATGAGCAAAGGAAGAAACCCTGGCAGTCGAGTAACAGCTGTAGTATGAGAGGAGGTAAGCATTATTGGAAATACATTTTCAATTTAAGAAAATGTTAACATAAAACATTAGGGTCATTTAGGCTTGTAATTCATATCTTGAACCTTAATGACAAGCTTTAATGATTATTGAAAAATATATTTTCGTCAAAAGCATGTATCTTGCATTTTGCTCAGGCATTGGATGGATAAAAGCACACTCTAACTATGTTCATGTTATGTAAAACACTACAGTCATTTAGGGCTGTGTTAAATGAAGTGGTAGCTGATATAGCAAAGTGCTGAATAGTAGACTTCCTGTTAATACCATATTATAGGCAAACACCTAACTACTCAGATATGAAATATTTACAAAAAATATAGGTGAGAAATTGTTGAATGTGAAGCAGTAGGTATCTTTTATGAGTAGGCGTGGAATTTACACATGCTATTGATATTTCTTATAACTAAAATAATTACATATACAGAGTTTACACCAAATGCAGACTTGTACCAATTTTTCGTGAATAAGTATTATTGCTTATAAACATAATATTTAAATTCTAAGTAATCAAATTAATTAAGAATTTTGACTTTATTTCTTTAACCCTATCAAATCAATATACATACATTGTTAGTAGGTTACATAACTCTCATGAAATGTCTTTCCAAAAGTGAAACTAGAACAAGAACTTACTTACAAATATGTAGCTTCTGATAAATAAAATATTTGATTTTGATTTTCTCTACTATTTCTAATAAAAATTCATTATTTAATGTAGTTATTTGCTCTTGGACTCTGAATAGTTCACTTGCAAGGTGATTTTCATGTAAAGTATAAAAATACTATGTTTTTATCTTACATTTCACATTTCTCTTGCATAATCTCTAGAGTCTAGAACCTCCTGAATGAATATCAAACATTTTTTAAGGTAGATGTTTATATTTTACTTTCCATTTTTGCTACTATATCACTAACTCCAGCTATTATCATCAATGTACAGTGCAATGGAATGTTTAAAAATAAGAAATAGAAATATGTACATAACTTTTAACTCTTCATTGTATAATCATAGGATATCTTCGTTGGGTCACATGCATATTTTCATATCTTTATCTTTTCACATATAGTTTATTTTTAATGTTTTATTTTCATTTTCTGTTCTTCATCATTCATTATTTATGTCAACATATGTCAGTGGGATCCCAGACAATATAATGTTATCATAGACAGATTAGCCTTCTGCAAAATATTTTGCACTCACATAAAAACCATAAATATTATTGTGGATCAAGCAGCCAACACTGCTACAAGCAGTTACATCTACCCAGTGATTACAGCATGGTGTCAATTTCAAAATAACCACTGTTAGATTATAGGGTAAAATGAGTTAATTCTAGTAACTATATATATGTGTGTGTGTCTGTCAAGTAACTACACGTGGTTTGTAAAGCTCAAGGAATAGTATAGAAGGTGAGCATGTCACCTGTCAGGGGTTGACAAAATTTATTACTTGTTTTTACTGCATTCAGCCAAAGAACTTTGAAACATACCTGACACTTAGGCAAGTTAACATATTTTAATTGTCTAGACATACATCTACAGGACTGACGTTATATGAGTCCAGACAGGAAGTGCAAAAGTTGATGTTTTTCATAGCTTGTGGGTCATGTGACAACAAAAAACTGAAGTTTAAGTATTTTTTAAAGGTTTCTTAAGAAATAAAGGAATTAAAACTTAGATAAGATAAAACTTTGAATTATAACATACATTTTAATGTTAATTTCATTCACATACATTGACAGTAAAGTTGTTTAGTCTGGTGGTGTTTCTCCCAGGGGCTGTGAGGCTGCATGACATTCTGGAGAGAATTTAGATTTGCTTTTAGATTGAGTGATGTTTTGGGTCTTCCCCTGATTGCTTTTGAGTCTGTGTCTCCCTTATAGGGTTAAGTACATTTTTTAAAGAATTAAGTACAAAACTCTTGGTTTGTATGTTTTTATTGTAAACTAATTTAAATAACTTCTGTATGGGCCTGTAAAAACAAACTGATTTCCAATTTTAAATATAGTTAGACAAAGGACAACATGAGTAAATATGTGCATCATGACCTATATGTGCAAATATGTAATGAATTGACTCCTAGATGAATTTTTTATAGTACTTTCTTTGATTAATTTTATTATAAGTATGTATGCCTAAAATTAAATTTTGTATACGATATCTTACATATGCTTTAATTCTTGGCTATTTGCCAAAGTGTAGAACTTAACATATAATAGATATAATTTTATTTATATATTTTACAAGCCATCTTACATCAATAAATATAGAGGAGTGGCTAAAAAATCACTCAACAAGACAGCTCCTGTACTCCCTATTCATGTTAACCCATTGCACAGTCTTTCAGTGTGGGACCTCATGTAGATGATAGACAATTCCTGTTTGGTATTTTTCCCACAAACAGATTACTCCCTCTCATTTTCTTCTATTAGAGTTGGAGAACCTTTGTTTATCCAGTATCAAGCCATTGGGGTGGTCATTATGGAAAGCTCCATTGTGGGTGGCTTGATATATTTCCTGAGCCACTCTTAACTTGTATGGTCTTCTAACTACATGGGATGTATAGGGTGGTAGAACAGCCTTCACATTTTGCACATTTTCATGACACTTTAGCAAAAAGTAGAAAGTTCCTTTGACAGAACCTTTATGAGCAACCACTTGTATTGTGAGAAGAGTATTCACTGCTTGTGTGTATCTCACCAAGTGCTGCTCCCACTAGGTACTCCTACCTCAATGGAATACATGCTCAGAATGTTTTTCTTTTCTGTTCCTATAATCTGAAAAGTGGCTAATCTTTTTCATTTATTTTTTTTAATTGTTCCCTTCATTATATTTTCAGTGTGGGATTCTAGCTGGAAAGATGAACAGCATGGTCTGAAAGTTAACATTTTCCATACCTGAAAATGTATTTTAGATAGGTACAATGAGGTTGTTTTGCCATCCTTTAGGTGAATAGGTATAGTCTATTGTTGATTGTACCATAGATTAGCCCAATACACGTTTTATATGCAGGAGTGAATGTTCTTGCAATGGTTTGGAGCATGCACAAAAACTATTTCAGTAGCTGTGCTAAGACACTGGTGAATTGTTATGTAGAAGATGAGTATCTATTTAATATACACTTTCAGCCATGGTAAATGCTTACCTTAATAGTTTTAAGATTCAAATTTTATTCTCACCCTTATTTACAACAGAATACAATGATACAGTGCAAAGAAAATCTGATGGGACTCTGGGATCTATCAGCCAGGTAAATATTCAAGACAAATCTTTACAGAAGTCAACAGACGTCCAAGGACAAAGTGTACATATGCGAAAGAAATCAGAAGATTCACAGTTGAACAATAATTGCTCACATCCTGTAGACTTAAGGACCACAAGTTATGTTCCAGCTTCACAGGTAAAATGTATTCTATTGTAAATCAGGACTTTTTTATTAACCCTTTCCATGTGGGTCATAACACATGTCATCATGTTTTGTAGATTTACATTTAAAATGCTAGTAAGCTACTGTTTTATGAATGCATGACCATAAATTTGATATCAACTTCTAGTTTATAATTCCAATGTTGGTATTATATATTTATTTGATATCTTAGTTCAAAAGTAAATATACAAAAATAGCTAAATATTGATTTTTGTGTGTTACATGGTGCATCATCTTCTTGTGCTCAGATTCTATTGTGGGCATCATAAGATCTAAAATTTAGAAATCCAATATTGACAAGCTAGAATATAAAATAAAAATCTCCTACTTTTTTATATTTGCTGAGATATTATTATATTTAGCAAACCCACCACAGTGGCTTTGCCCACCTCTTCCTCTTTTGAAAATACATGTTTACCCATGTCTACTTCTCTTAAGTACATATTTATAACCAATCAAAAGCACTCATTTTGAACAATGTAATTCTATTAGTCTTCCTAAGGTGCTTACATGGGTAAAGCCACTATAACTGCTGGAAAGTCTGAAGAGTGGTGATCAAGGTGAAATTCTGATCAGAAATGAGAAATTACAGTGGATTTTTGTGGTATTGGTCTAGGAATTTATAATTTTTTGTTATTCCAAAATAAATATATAAAACATTTTTACATCCTTCATGTGCAAAATTCAAAGAGACTTAAGTACAATGCATGAGTACCAAACTTTGTAACATCATAAGTAGTAGAGACCATTGTTTTCTATATTTTTTTTTATCTGCTGTTTTATGTTTTTAAAAAATAACTGAAATTTAAGAATTTATTTGTAAATAGTAATAATAATATATATATTATATTATGTATATATACCTATGTAATATTTGGTAACTGAAATACCATTGTATTTTACAAAATACTAGTACGCTAGTTTTGAGACTAAGAAGAGTAAGACATTTTTGTTCTGTAAAGGTCAATTTTATGCTATTTGATACAGTAATGTGAGCAGTATGTGCAACACATGATTTACAACAAAAAAAGACATTAATAATTATAAAAAGATGTATATTGTTATGAGATTCAAACTAGTTAGAACAAACAATTGTGATTTCCTGTTATAATATAGTCATACTTCATCTGAAAATTTCATTTGTATAATTTCTAAAACTTCTTGAATAAATTTTAAGTATTTTTCTTCCATAAAACTATATTTTATCCATTATATTCTCTACTCTAATTCTATACAGGATTGGTCCATTTGACCAACATTGTAACCACCATAAAGATAAGAAATAAATCTAAAATTACTTCTTTTTCTTTCTAGAATGACTTTAAATTGTAACAGGAAACTACATTTGCTTATCCTAAATAGCCTAAAGCTCATAACAGTATACATCTGTTTATACTTAAATTTTAATGTTTTATGGCCTTTTGAACCATGTTTAAATAATAATCCTGCCACACAAGTTGTAAATCACTTGGCAAATGTGGAGCTTACATTATCAAATTACCTTGTGTAAAATTTTTATTATTATTATTCCTTGTCTTACCACCACCCCAGTGGCACAGTGATATGTTTGCAGACTTACAATGCTTGAAACCGGGTTTTGATACTCGTGGTGGGCAGAGCACAGATAGCCTATTGTGTAGCTTTTTGCTTTACTTCAAACAAAGAATCCTTGTCTTACCTAATCTAACCTTATTGAAGCTAATAAATTTGTAATTTTTACATTTTACTAAATTTTATAATAATAGATAAAGAATACACATAAAAAAACAAGAAATATAGTATTTACCTGTTGACTGTCGAGGAAAATTAACTCTACTTTTTTATACTAATGGTACTACTGCATTATATAATATTCATTTAATTAAACAATGCACCTATGAACACAGAATAATGTAAAAAGCAGACAATGTCTTATAACTATCATAAATCTTCTGGCTTTCTAACTATGAAATACAATCCATTAAAAAATTCATCTAAGTTCACTGATGCTTTTTCTGCCAAAATAAAATTAGAAATTGAAGGGAAATATACAAAAATAAGATAATATAATGTCATTTGATAGATTGAAACTTTGACTTTTTATTGGTTATAAATAATATACTATTAAATTTCAGAATGAACTATTGGCAATTTGTGAAAGAGAAGTTGTGATAGTTGTATGTGACAAGTGGGTCTGATTTTCTAGTTTATGGCTTTGTAAACTAATAATCTTGAAGGCTATAAAAATTATGCTTTGCCTGAGTAATATCTATATTATATTCATTGATTTACATTAAATTCTGTACTTCTCAGAGAGATGTTAAATACGTTATAGAAGAGGGAAGACCTAGAGAACAATTGAAACAATTCTCATACTAGAGGAGATTTATAATTTTTAAATTTGATATATCAGTTATGGTTTGATGGCATGTTTATTCATATGCCATGATAATAAAGTAGTTTAATTAAAGTGCTTTATTATCATGTAACCCAGTAAAACCTCGTGGCATGTGCAGAAAAGGATACCTGTATGGAAAGACTTAACTTGTTTGTGACTGTAGTTAGTAGTAAAATTAAATGCCCTTGTAAAGGCTTATAAAGAAATTTTCTTCAGGAAAAGCATTATTATTATTATTATTAGACTATGATGTATTGCTGTTATAGTTTTTATATCATTTACATAACACCAGATTTGCAAATAAGATCATGTACTATTGAATATATAATTTCTTTTGAGATAACTTGATTTGACATTTGTTGTGAAAGAACATGAAGATATTGAAAACTTTTTATCATAAACAGAATAGCTTGATCTCTCATGCATCTGCTTATGAGAGTTGCATGCCATTTGCCTTGAGCTAACTCCCACCTAAAAATCATGTGTTCAACATGAACTGTGCTAGTGCTTGATGACATCATTGTACAATGATACTTTCACCAATGGGAGGGTAAGATAACCTACTTCTCAGTAATTTCCCTGAAACACTTGCATTGAAATTACTTCATTCTTTCCTTGACATTGAAATGTACAGACGTTTTAAAATTATTGATTACTTACTTGAGATTTGAAATAATTTACGTAATTTAAATTTTATTCAAGTTTAACTCTTTCTTTCTTTACTATTCTAAAAAACAAGGAAAAAAATTTTCCTGCATTCCAATATCAATTCTCAAGTGATAATAATTTCTACTTTGTCCTGTGAGGGTGACATTATTACTAACATGGGACCAGTGTCTACTGTGGCTATTGGAGGCTCATTCTCTGTGGAGGATGGGACAGCCATTGTTCAATGAGTTTTGGGTTCTCTCATGCATACAGGGCATCTTCCTCCTATCCATTTGGCTGATGCTCCTTCTTCCCAGTTTGAACATGACCAGGATGATGATGATTTTAAATGGCTGTTTCTCCCACCAGGGTTTACTCTAGGTATTGCTTTATCACCCTTCTAATCTCTTTCTTGGCATAATTTTGTAGGTATGTTCTTTTCATTCTCATTCTCTTCCTGCCATTCTTTATTACATGAAACCCATACATAAGATTACTTTGTCTTCCCTCTCTCTCCTGATATTAGGGTCTATGTGGATTCGTTTTTGAACAACTGTGCACCTGTACTAACATGCTTCTTCATCCTTATCTACCTGAATCTTTTGTTTTATCTTACAACTGTTCTTCATTTCTGATCCTTGACTCCCAGTCTTTTGAATCTGTTTTACCCCTTAACTTTTATTTCACTTGTGCTTAATTTTCATGCCCTCATCTATCCTGTCAGGTCTGTCCCAGTGGGCACCCATTTGTTTCACTTTTCCATCCTTTGGTCTCTATTTTCAGCTGACAGATAGATTCTTCAGCTATCACCTATGGCCTATCTCACCATTTCTCTAGCTCACCTTTCTCCTTTGCCTGTTTCCTTTCTTCCTTCCTTCAACCCTATTTAACTTCAGCATCTGAAAAATGTAGTCTTGAATCTCTTGGCAAAGATAGCCATTAAGAGAGTATTTGCTCCCCTACTCCAGAATATTACTCTCACCTCTTTGTGGTCACCAAAAAGACTGGGTAATGGCTTCTGGTTATAAACCTGTCATTTTTCAAGTTGTTTTTAGTCATGTAGTGGTTCTAAATGAATTTTTTCTTTTCTCTCCAATGGGCCTTTTTACCCAGTTTGTGGATGATCAAAGTTGATGTGTTGGATACTTCTTTAAACATTTTGATTGCCCACATCCTCCAGACATTTTTTTCTGTTCTTTACATCAGAATTGAATCTTCCAGTTCTATGCTCTTTTCTTTGACACTGCATTCGCTTATTACATCTTCATTCATGCCATGGGGCATTTGCTCACCATATTCACGGATTGGGGCTGAGATTCAATTATTAGATGGATGATTGGCTTATCTTAACCCCTTCTCAGGAGGACTCCTCTCACATCTCCATTTTTCTTCAGGAGGCTGCTCGGCTGGGTTAGCTAGTCAAGCATTTCAAGTCTTTTCTCATGCCTACCTAATATTTGATACATCTAGACATATTCTTCAACATTTATCTCAGTCAGGCTTAGCCTTCACCTCTTCAGCTGTAAGCAGTGGAATGTCTTGTCACCAAGATTTGCATTTGTCATTTATGCCCTGCACACTAGATTCTAGGTTCTTTTACTTTGTGAAAGTCTGGTTTCACTAAAACTACTCATTCCATTAGGCCACATGCACATACTGCAGTGGACCTTGCAATACCAGTGGAACCTCTCTTAGGATCCATTGTCTTCAATAGTGCACCTCCACTCTTCTCTTTTTGAGGATTTACTTTGGTGGCTCAACCATGCCAATATAATGGTGGGCATCTCCCTGACTGGATCTCCATCTTTTCACAGATGCTTTTATGGGGTTGGGGTGCATGTTTCTTCCACATCACCATACTTGAACTTTTCACAGTTCATTTCTTTCCTCTTCTCATGGATTGATTGGTTATGGTCCACTCCGGCAATTTCCCAGTCATTCTTTTATCAACTTTTATAGAGGTAAATATTTCAGGAATCTTTGCTTCCATGCATTGGACCTGCTATTTTGGGCTCATTCCCATCAGGTACATCTCATAGCATATCATGTTCTAGGGGCTCTGAACCTGATGGCTGGATTGGATTCCACCCATAGAGTGATCTCTCTACCTTCAGATTTTACAGGGTTTACTCTCAGTTGTGCATACCCCTCTTCAATGCCTTCACCATTTCCCTCAATACCAATACCTTCTGGTTCCTATTTCCTCATCCTTTGGCCCTGGCATTTGATGTTGTTAGACAGGACAGATATCTTCTTTTTCTGTATGCCTATCCTCCTTTTCATGTCCTCGTCTTGATCTGTGACACTCTTTTTCAGTTCCTGTTAGTTGCACCTCTTTGGCCTGCATAACCCTGGCATCTTCTGTTTTGTCAATTGGCATTTAGGCCCCTCTTCCTCTACCCCATTTCCTCTCTCTCTCTTGCTCCAACCTCACACATCTCTTTTTTTCACCCATGGGTTCATACTCATGTATGGGATTTGTCTAGGCCATTGCCCAGAGGACTGGATTTTTCAATTCTTCTTCTTATCCTATTCCTGATATCCTTCAACTTTGTCCGTCAAAGAAAGTGGTTAATTTTATAATGTTGGCTCATCTGACACTCCTTCTCTCCAAGCCATCCCACACTTTGGCATTTTTTATATGGTTGTTCAGCCATGGATTGTCAGTCTACCTTACCTGATTATTGGGTGGCTTTATCAACTGAATCTTACCTTTCCTGTTACCAACACGGGTTATTTTCCTCTGTCTTCTTCACTTTGTTCCAATCCTTATTTCTTCACCGATCCCCTTGTCCAACTCCCATGCTTTACTGTGACCTTAATTGGTTTTACACACACTCACACATACACTGTTTGAGCTGTTAGCTTCCTGTTCTTTATACCATCTTTCTCAGAAGACATACTTTGTTTCACCTTCTCACCTGTTCTTGCTATTGTTTAGATGTATATACCTTTGATGCTTCGTCCACTCTCTGTCTGATAGGATCCAGGTACTTTTATGGGTCTCTACATCATAATTTCTCCACCCATATTTTCAAGTGGAACATGGGAGACCCTTGCCACTTAGCAGTTGCTATCTGCTGGGGTGGTGGACCTTGGAGAGTCCCTCAGTGACTTTGTAGAGATCATTACGGTTGGAAGTAGGGAGGCAGCAGCACAGTTTATGTAGTACAAGTCATTTCTCAAACAGCAGGAAGGTTTTTGTCATGCCCATTTTGCTTTCTCCAGTTTATTCGAGGTGAGACATGCACAGTACTGTCTGATCATGCCCTAACCACACTACTCTTCTTGGCTTCTGGACCATTTGTGGGTGAGTGCTCAGTTAATCTTGCAAAAATTCTGCCCATCGTTGCGACACTTCGGACTCTTTTTTCTGTCTCTCTCTCTTTTCCTTTCAGGTGAAAAGTATACCCTGCTTGAAACGAGATGCAGTCTCCCACAGGTATGCCCCTGTGGAGCACTTGCCATTGGGTGTCACACTCTCTGAGATTCCCCTTTGGGTGCTTTCTGAAGTTTGTACAGGTCCTTCCACCATTTCAGTGTGGGATTCTAGCTATTCCATGTGTGGAGGTGAGGTGCTCATCTTTTCAACCATCATCCCTACTTCTGATGAACTTTATTCTAGCCTTGTTTAAGAATGAAGTTATTTCGAGTGCAAGTGCTTCAAGAGCGTTACTGTGCAAAGAGGTTGCATCACTCTTATTGATGGAAGGCTACCAGTTGCATGATGATGTCGTCATACACTAACACAGTTCATGTTAAACGCAATTTTTAGGTAAGAGTTAGCTCAAGGCTAGTGACATGCAAATCTGTTAGGCAGATATGTGAGAGATCATGTTATTCTGTGAGGTGAATATCAAAAATACATTTTCAGGTAAGGAAAATGTTAACCTTCAAGAATAAGAAAAGGGGTTACTTGAAATAAATACAAAGTGCAGTTTTTTTTTGTAGAGACCTTAGCACATTTTGCCTCTACATGACTATAAAATTTATAGTTTGAAATACATAGACTAATACTTAGGCAGATCATGCTGTGTATGCAATTTTAAGGTTTATACACAAAAATATAAAATTAAGTTTAAAAAAGTATTAATTCATTATTAGATTTTTTCTGCTACAAAATTATTCATTTGATATCAAACAGTCAGTGGTCAAAATCTTCACAACAATGTACAGGTACTCATCATCTCAGGACATGTTTATACTTATGTGCTGTATTACTTAAAGCAGCTTCTATATCCACTTCAAGCCAAAAAAGTTGTGGCATTGAAAACCAGCTATTGAAAAAGTATAAACAGTCAGTACCAGTGAGAATTGACAGAATTTTGCCTGTGTATACATTGTACTATACCTGAACCAGTATATGTCTGTGCGTATTTTGCTTATCACAAAATTTGCTTTTTTTTTTTAATTATGCTAGTCCTGAGCTTGTTAGCGTAATAGTATTCTGAAAATTAATGTGACTTAGTATCACACAAATTACCAAACTAAAGAATAGCAATCTGTATCTAATATCTTATTCCAAAAATATCTATCACATTTTGTACCTAATATGTTTTACCTGCTCCAAACAGGAACCACTATGGAAAGAAAATTTTATCTTCCATCTTACCAGCCACTTAAAATACCTTAATATTGGAGTTTGGGCTTATGATGATGAAATTCCACAGGATTCTGGTTCAAAAAATTCATTAAAAAGAACTACAAAGGATAAACTAATTGGAAGGGTGAGATGTTTTTATTCTTATTAGCTGCTTACCGTTTACAATTTGAATTACATTTTCATAGTTTTATTATACTATCTTATATCCCATGATCAAACACCGAACTTAGGTTCTAGCATGACAGTTTTCTTATATTATGTTTTCTTTATTAATTTTACTTACAAGTTGAAGTGTATTCTATGCTTAGTTAAAAATGCAAAGATTAGTATTTTCTTAAAATGTGTTGGATATATGTAATGAAGTATCATTTATCTAGAATACCTTTATTAGTTATTATTGTTATTGCAGTGTAAAGCTACACAGTGATTAATATGTGTCAGGTTTTGGATATGACTGCTGGGATTCTTTTACAGTTGGTGTCTGTGACTTGGTGATGAATTTGAATAATAAATGGACAGCACACAATCCACTTGTTTTAAAATAATATATTGAAGACTAGTCAAACATATCTACAAAAATTATTTACACTAATGTATATCAAAGTTGTATCTAAAACTCTAAATAATTCTCTTTTCTTGTCAAAAATCCATGCAGCTGATTTAATTACTTTAGAATCCAATTGACAAGACAAATTATTTTTTTTCTACTCTATTTCTTACTGCACAATCTGCAATACATTCACTTACCACATGGCTTACCACAGTTGTATACAGAACTTCAAATAATTGTCTACTTTTTGTCAAATTTTACACAGGCTGGTTCATTTACCATTTGACAAAACAAATTTTTCTCCTTATCTCTGTTAAACTATGAAACTCACTTTAAAATATTGCCCGTTACGGCTAAACTAACAATCATGCAGTCTAACTTCACTTACACTAACTCAACTTTTTCTGAATTCACTTCTTTTGTTAGTTACAACAGTTGTATACAGATCTTTAAATAATCCTTTCCTTTTTTTGTCAAAAGTGTACACAGGCTGATTCAATTACTCTAGCACCCAGTTGACAAGATAAATTATTTTTCCTATCTCTGTTGTTACAATACAGCTGTGAAACACACTATAGAAATCACCTATTAATCACTCACACACCAGCTAACTTCATGCTTTCTTTCACTAACTAACTTTTTTCTATTTTCCTGAACTTGCTGTATCTGCACATATTTATAACATGCAACAGAAAAATCTAGAACTATCTAGCCCTCTAGTAGCAACAATATTACTAAAAAAACTTGGAAGCTTCAAGTAATATAACTTCAACAATATTAATAAAGCCTAGTACAACAATCAAACTACATACACAGCATACGACTCGTACAGAGTTACGAAACAAACTTGTCATAACTATTACTTTTAAAATAATTAACTTTTAACACTTGTTATGAAAACTAAATAATCATTAAATATTAAATCACTAAATAAAATATATAATAACTATTAAGCTAAACAGTCTTGTATATTCAACAATCTGTATCATATTTGCTGTGAGGATAAATTCCCAAATTTTAGTATTATAAGCTCTAAAGGTTACTGCTGAACTACTGGGGGACTCTTAGAAAAACTGCAGTTTTAAAACTTCTGTCAGAAAACTGTCAAGAGTGCATTTGTCAGACCTTAAGATGAAACTTCACAATAGCATTTAAGGGATTGAAATCACTTGGTGAAATTTGTTTAGATTTATTTACATTTTGAGTATTTTAATATTGATACTGTTATGAACAGGGGCATCAGGTGGCTTCATAAGTTGGTGTTGCATTAGAAAACTGGAAGTACCTATGGTAGAAAAAGTAAGCTTGGATCAAAAGCTGATGGGTTTTAATGTATTCTAAACTGAAGTCTAAGATTCTCCTTGACTTAAAATATATTCAAGTATAACTACAATATTCTCCTGAGCTATTTACAAAAAATACTAAAGTACAAGAAAACAGAGACAAATCCTCTTAGTTTATAGAATAAACCTTCTTTAAATTTTAGAATAAACTGATACTTTTGCCAAAAAATAAATTAGAAGCATTAATTTAGCATATTCTTGAAATTCCAATATAAATATAGGATTACTGTATGAATAAAGGACATTTCAAAACCAATACATTATGCTTTTACCATTACTGAAACCAGAGAAAAATTTACATCTTTTTTTAGTTCTACACATAAATATGAACCATAAGTAGTAAGTGATAAAATTTCACTTTTTGACAACAGATTTAATGATTTTTGAAGACTAAATTTCCTTCTACATTGTGACTTGCACCATCTGTTTACCATGCCACTTTGTTAATAAGAAAGTATTTATGAGTGATTGTTAATAAGAAAGTATTTATGAGTGATAAGAAACTTCCTCATTGACTAAAACTGTAGATAGACTACTACCTAGGCCAATGCTTTTGAGAAACTGTTAGGTTTTTATACAGTAAGTGCCTTTCTGGCGATGAATTTTAACATTAAATGGACAGCACACAATCACTTGGTTTGAAATAATATCTTTAAAACAAGTAAAACATGTGTACAAAAATTCATTACACTATTGGTTATCACAGTTATATCCAGAGCTTTCAATAATTGTCTGCTTTTTTTCAAGGGCCTGGCATGACCCACCAAACATGCTCACCCTTTTAGCCATGGAGGCATTCAAATGTGATAGTCAATCCTACTATTCATTGTCAAAAGGGCAGCCCAAGAGTTGCTGGTGGATGGTGATGACTAACTGCCTTCCCTCTAGTTTTTCACTGCTAGATTAGGGATGGCTAGAACTGATAGCTCTCGTGTACCTTTGCACAAAATTCAAACCAAACCTTTTTCTCAAAGTTCACACAAGCAGGTTACAATTACTTTAGAACACCTTTTCACAAGACAAGTTATTCTCCTCTACTCTGTTGTTACAATACAAGGCTGTGATACTCACTTTAAAGTCACTGTTATAGCTGTTGGTTACTACAGATGTATACAGAGCTTTAATTAATTGTCTCCTTTTCATCAAAGTCCACACACGCAAGTTCAATTACATCTTTTGACAAGACAAGTTATTCTCCTGTACTCTGTTGTTACAATACAAACTGTAAAACTCAACTTAGAAATCACCCATTATGGCTAAACTGACAAGCAGTCTACTTCCCTTTCATTAACTTAACATCCTTCTGTATCTGCACATATTTATAACATGCGACAGAAAAATCTAGAAATATCAAGCCCTCTAGTAACAACATAACTCATAATGAGAAAAACTTAGAAGCTTTGAGTAAGATGATGTCGTCAACAATATTACAAAAGCCTAGTACAACAATTAAACTACATACACAATGTGCGACTTATACAGAATTACGTAACAAAACTTCAACAGAAATGCACAGATGACTACTAATAACATAAAGAAAACTTTCATAACTTCATTGCGTAGACTGGGAAGGTGTAAATATATGCTAAGACAGCATTCAAGCAATATAATGGTTTGGGGAACAGGCACAATATATTGGTAGAGCATGGTTGATGGTGTTTTTGAAGTTAGTGGTGTTGTATTCATGTTAAGCTCTTGAGTATGATAATAATAATGTTATTATTGTTATGCCTCCGTTCGTTAGTTAATTTTCTGTATAATTTCTTCCCGAAGAAACTTTACCGATACAAGTCCTTTCTTAAATAAAACTGGTTTATTCTTTCTGAATACAACTTTTGTAATACACTTAATTTCCACAGTCACAATATAACAAATGCTATAATTCACAACGAACGTCTCGCGTGCTCGACTCAACAATATTCTCTCTCTGTCTGCAGTTCAATTACACAGCATTACCTTGTTGCCGTCACGTCTTGACCGTCTTATATATAAAAGAATACCGAAAACTAGTAAACGCTCGAGCATTCAGGATCCTTCTAACATTAGAAGGTAACCTTCTAATGAGGTAACATTATTTTTGTAGTTGATGCATTAATAATTTTACAGCTAAGTTAATAGCATTGCATATAAATGCCAATTATCGTTATTTCAAAGTAAATAAATATATAAGTAATTAATTACTTATAAGTAATTCAATTTTCATTTGCAGAAACCTCTTTGTCACTCTATGCACATTAACCCTATCGCCCCAGGTATGCATTACTGCGCATGATACAAGGTGTGTTGGTATGTGGTTTTTTAGAAGAATTAGGTTAATATTTATAACTGTTGTTTTCCATTTGTATTGTGTTTGCTGCAACTAAAGGCTTGATGTTTAGAGTTCAGATCATCAACTATTACTAGTTTGCTATTGTAGCTAAGGTGATGTAGGATTAATTTTTTCTGTAGTATGTATCAGTTTACAATTAACTTCTGTGATAGTTATTTTGCTGTTTCAGTTGGAAAGTAAATCTATTGCTATGAAGTTATTGTTTAGTGAACTCTTCAACTGATTTAATTGTGTTATATTGATATATGTTTATGAAAAATTGAAATACCTCGTTTGTCTTGGTTTATGGTTATGTACCTAAGTTTATTTGATTTGACTTTTGAGTTTAACAGTGTTTCCTTTAATAAGATGAGGTCTGTGTTGTTCTTTAATGCTATGTCCTGTACCTGTAGTTATTTAATGTGAAATCACCATTATCTTGTCTCATATTCTTTGTCCAAATCTCTATAGGTTAGTGTATGATCTAGCCACTCGGTATTAATTATGGTGTTAAAGTTCTTGTCGAACATTTTAAGTTTAGTTTGAAATGTTTGGTTTTTCTAAGGGCAAAGATTATGCCAATGAAACATGATACTAGATTTTCTTTTTGATTGTGTGCTTCTGTTTTATTGTCTTTGTGCATGGGTGGTTGCACATGTGATAGATTCTGACTGTTGCTTGTATTTCTTATTGACTGTTTTTTGTGAAATATGGAAAGTTTGTCAGTATATATGGAATAGTGTGTTTCTTTATCTATGGGTTTGGAAGCAGTGTTTTGTATTTGTTTAGTATAACTTTCCTTATGTTTATGTATTTTTTGCAACCTGAAAATGACACAGTGATTACACAGTTTGCACATTTGGCTTTTTCTTTAATACATTTTTAAGGCATCTGAGACACTTGGTTTGCAAATGTTATGTATC